TCCCAAAAGTTGTTCTCATCCCGGCTGGAGTGGACTGCAGTTTCGACATCGCCTAGGGATTATCAACGTCCTCAGCGCGACTCGAACCGTGACAGTGCAGAATGTGAACTTGATGCGTTAACCATTCTACCACATTGCCACGAGTGCCCTTGAGTCATAGGGCAGATGTGAATTTCAAGGAAGACCAGGCCTTTTGCCATATCATATTCTTTGTTGGAATTGTCGATGAAGCAAACGTATATTTGCTATACCAATCGACTACGCTACTTATTTTTCGTATGTAAGTAGAGTTGTGAGACTACCAGTAAATCAGTAATATGAGATGTATTCATCCTATTTCGTTTGAGGTGATTTCATTGTGGACAACTTCTACTACCATTCCTTATTACCTTAAACGAAATTGGGTGAATACATCCCACATTACTGATTTACTGGTAGGCTCGAAACTCTACTCAAATACGAAAAATAAGGAGATGAATAGTTTTGCTGAATGAACGATGAATATACTACTTAAGAGACAAAAGTAAAAGTGAACCGCCAGACTGATTAGCTGCCAGATAGGCCATGGTACAATTAAAAGCAGAGATAGAGCGAGAAATGAGGAGGGGCGAAATGGATGTCTCGCAATCATACATTCACTCTGGCACAGGAGCGAAGTTATTGACAAACCATCATCCACCATCGATCAAGTAGTTATGGTAGGCATGCGTTACGCTTTATTCTATCGTTTAATCTACTCTCTGCAAGGCCGTAAACGACTGGCGGAGGGCTGGTGGAATGAAACCCTCTGGACCTATCATCCAGGCTTGAGATGATCCGACTTTTGCGGGACTGGCATTGGTAGACCGAAGCCTGTGGATTCTATCATGACCGTCAAACGACAGTAGTCTGTCTGACAGAAGTCTACACCGGCTCTGTGTATGTCGTTGCCGCCTAAGACCAATGGCGCAACCCTTCCGCCCCCGACCTCTGCCGATCAGAGAGGCACACTATGCTGTACACCTCTGTAGGCGTGTTCGCCTAGCGCCGACTGACGTGACGTGTTATGCCGACCGACGAAGAGGGACCAGTTGATCGGAATCTCGGGCAAGATCAGCCGTCCATCGCTGCATGCCACCCGCTGGATCGGTGGACTCAGAGACACCGGGTGAGTCTCACAGACTTGTATGCTAAGCATGATTGGCTCAAACACATCTGATTTGGCACCACCACAAATTGGGAATCGGAGTGGAATCGAGACCCTGATGGATAGGTAGGCTTTCACAATCAGTCTGATGCATAAGCCTAAGGCTGTCAATGAATTTCAATCTTAGCCTTTTCATTCTCTCATCCACACCCACAAAGTGATTCAAACTAGAGTTGTGAATATTGTGGCCTGGCCTGGCCTTGCTCAAATCCGATTTTTATAGTGGGATTGTGGAGTAACTGGTAAAAATTGAGGATGCTACTTATTTTCGAAGTAAGTAGTTTATGAACGTCTCCGTATTTTGTCAATAAAGACCCAGATATATGTGTTTTCCTACACAATCTGATGCGTGGATTTCAGGATGCCATCGAATTTACTGTTCATCTCTGTCGATGTTTCATCAACACCCTCGTGATTGAAAGCAATTAAAGCCAACGCCAAGTCAAGAAGATTGACCAACAAATAAAAGCTATGAAGAACAAGATAGTGACCGTTGTGTGAATACGGTTAGACTTCGTATTGTCAGTAAAATATGGGTAAAAACCCCTTGTCTGCATTCTTCTGCTATATTATCCATGATCATTTCCAGCGTCACATCTTAGAAATGCAATATTTGTAGGCTTAAACGCTAGCAATTAGATTAATTCTATGGAT